AGTCACTGGACCACACCCCAGAGACTATATAATAGAGGGTGGTGGCCAGTGATCCCTGTGACGAACAAAACTAACCTTGGATAGTCACTAAAGCCTCGTCCGGAACTGCTGAGAGAAATATTATTCTGCTTGGACTTTTTGTACGCTAAGTATCTTATCTTTCTGTTTTGTGGAAATAAACGCACTTGGCAGACGGTGTGTAAATCGCTGCCAAGTTGGAGATAAGACCTGGGTGTGTGCCAAAGTGTTGTCTTAACCCTCGGCTGGCTGTGTTTGTGTGTGTGTGTGGACGGGGACAGATCACTATTTTGGACTCTTTGACAAATGGATTACGTTTATGCTGAGCTACAAGGCAAGAGAATTATGGGATTGGGGCATGCAGAAGATCTGGTTGTTACCCTAACACAGTGGTTGGAATTAATAATCTAGATGGAAGACATTACAGAAGACACTATATGGAATATAAATATAAAGTCACTCGGGTGGTTTTTTATATACGAAAACATTTATTATTGATGGGGGCAGATGGTAATTGAAGATACTGAACATGCTGTTGGAACTAGAATTTGATGTTACCCTAATATGGGTGATCGAATTAACAATCCAGATGAAAGACATTATAGAAGATACCATATGGATTACAAGCTTAAAGTCATTTGAGGATTTTATTTACATATGGAAATGTTTTTTTTTTTTAGTGGTGTGGGCAGAAGAATAAAAATATTAAAAATATTATGTATGGTAGACCTGTAGGAAAATGGGTGGAGTTGGGTTAGTTTATTGATTGTTTAGTTTAGGAAAAGGGATGTTATGTTATATTAATATATGTAAAAGACCTGAATTAAGAGAGATATGTATGGGGGAGGAGGATATGGGTGGATTATGAGTTGAAATTGCCAAATTAGGATTTATTATACAATTTATAGCTGAATGTTATTTTGAAATGTATAGTATAGGGGGGATATAATAATATTGTTAGAAAGAAAGAGTCAGTATATGGGGGGTGGAGTAAAAGGATGGTAAAGTATTATATAATCTGTTATTAATCTGGGTTTTATTTTGGAGAAGCCATAAGGGGAGGGGAGGGGGAGGGGGGTTAGGGAGGAGGGGGGAAGAAAAGGGGGGGAAATTTTGTATTTGAAAAACTTTTTCAATTAAAAAAAAAAAAAGAAAAAGAAATGAGCTGCCGCCTTTGAAACATGCCATGCCTTTGAGAAAGCCTGGGCAGCGATGGCTAGGCCCATGGGGAGGGGCAGTGGAGGTATCAGGGCTGCTTCCCCCCTCCTCGACAAGCCAGGCCTAGAGGAGCATGGAGAGTTGTAGGTTGAGCGCCGGAGGGTCAGAAGGCGCACTCTGAAGTCGCCCCAACACGCATTTCCAGTGCATGCTCCTCTGTCCCAAATGGCTTTGAGTGTGGGGTGGGGGAAAGGAACAGGGGGAAGGGTAGGGGGGGCTTTCTAGGAGAAGCCTGGGGAAAGCCCAGCTGGCTTTCTTTTTGGTGTGGGGCGGGGGGAAGACCCAATACAAATCCAATTTCCCCCAATAAATGGGGAAAATAAAGTCCCGGTGGTCCAGAGTTCAAAAAGGGGGGTGGGCTCTGTTCATTGGAGGATCATAGAGGAATTCAGTCAAAATCTGAGTGGGAAGCTATTCAGAGACAGATCTGCCTGGGTCTCTAACCCTCCTCCTTAAGATTCCCCCCTTCCCGGCTTTCTTCCCTAGCTTCATTTTAAGGGGAGGGGGTAGCAAGGTGAGATAATAGTAGCTAAAAGGTTGCGAGGGGGGGAGCAGATAAAGAACCCCCTCTGTGGTATCGACTGGCTCTTTGCGTCACCACCTGGTTCAGAGCATTTTCCATGGGGAAGTGAAGGACCTTGGTTGGAAGCAATGGGCATAAAACACAGCAGCTCCAGACCACACCAAATTCTCAGACTGGTAGCCCCCCCCGGCCCCCCTCTCTCTCTCCGCTCCTCCAAGTCCAGAGGGGACTCTCCCCTGTGTTTCCTGGTTCATGTTTCTGAATCCTGTTTTTTTTCTGGGGGGGGGGGGGGAAGAGAGACACTCCGCAAAATGTGTGCAAAATCTTGCACAGGTGCAAAATCCTGATTATTAAAGACGGGGATGGGGAAAAGATGCCATTCCTTTCCCAAGGATCCAGGGAAAGTGGAGTAAAAATAGGTGTAGGGTGTGTGTGTGTGTGTAAATAATAGTCCTGGATAGCTTCAGCCACAAATGCTTCTAAGCTACACAGCATTCTTTAATAAACACTAACACTAACAAACCATAATATACAGGATTAAATATGAGTTTTGCAATCATTTCTGCTTCTTGGTTTGGGGCAGAGGAAACACCACTTACTACATTTTCATTTCCAAAAGAATCTGAGGTCTCTCCAGACCCATTTAGTTTCTTATCAGAGTCCCAAATCTTTTTCTTTTTTAAATCGTACTTTGGGTTGAAATAAAAAGACCAGCTTTCAAGGAAAGAGACTTTTTGTGGTGGAGTGGCCTCGAAGGAGAAGACAGGATACTTTTGGAAGGAAGGAAGGAAGGAAGGAAAGAAGGAAGGAAGGAAGGAAGGAAGGAAGGAAGGAAGGAAGGAAGGAAGATGTGATGGCTCTCCAGAGGCTACTGAACTACACTCCCATCATTCCTGACTATTAGTTGTGCTGTTAAAGAAATCTAGTGCCACCAGGGAGAAGTCAAGCTGTGAAAGAGTGATTGAAATTTCTCACATTGAAACTAAATGGTGATAGGTCATAACAGAGGTGTGCATTCTCCCTGACGCAGTTTCTTGTTATGTGCCCTATGATTTAAATTTCAGATAAATGTATTCTCTGCTGTCCTTTTGTTAATTCAGCAAGGTATCCCAGGGCATTGCCAGGGTTGATGGGGATCCTGCAGAAGATGCCCCAGGAGCCAGTCTCATCTCTGTACCCATCAAGTATTCCATGTCCTGGTTTCTCTTCCCCACCTCCATTTGCTCTTCTACCACACTTTTCTTTCCTTTGATATAACAGGTAAAAGTTTTTGAACGTACCTGAGAGCTAAACTTCAGTTGTATTTGCAATCTTAATTTCTCCACTATTTGAGTGGAAAGAATAGAGAGAGAGAAAGACAGAAACAGAGAGAGAGAGAGAGAGAGAGAGAGAGAGAGAGAGAGAGAGAGAGAGAGAGAGAGAGAGAGAGAGAGAGAGAAAGAGAGAGAGAGAGAGAGAGAGAGAGAGAGAGAGAGAGAGAGAGAGAGAGAGAGAGAGAGAGAGAGAGAGAGAGAGAGAGAGACAGAGACCGGGTGTGGCAAATAATTTAACAACCGATTCTCTGCCTTAATGACCGGCTGGGTAGGTATGGCTGTGGGGAGTGGACATGAGACTGGGTGGGAGTGAGTGATGTTGAGTTGACCACGCCCACCCAGGTTTTGTGGCTCTAGGTGTTTTGTTTTCTGTGGGAAATGGGTCCAAATGGCTCTTTGAGTGTTTAAGGTTGGTGACCCCTGGTATAGGGTTTTCTGCTTGAGCAGGGATTTGGACTAGAAGACCTCCAAGGTCTCTTCCAAATCTGTTATTCTACTCTCTTACTCTTTTTTTTACTCATTTATTTAATAAGGTTCTCTTTGTTTAGTTTTAGAATCTGTTGAAGAACAGATCATGTTTTAGGTCATATTTATGCAGAAATATTGACAATTTAAAATAGTTCAGAAACTTCATAACTCATATCTAAGCTAACCAATTAAATTTTCACAGCTAAATTTACATCTAAATTTTTTCTGGACAGCATTTGCCATATGCTTGTGAATCCATCGTCATTGTAAGTAAACCATATGCATTCATTAAATCTGAAATGTCATTATTCCAGAAGCAAGGGAGAAATAGAAACAATATTTCTGACCAGGACACCCACCTGGACCATTTGAAGCTGTTTCTTCAAATGGTAAATGAGCAGAGGATGACAGCCAAGCACGTGTAGAGAATGTTCAAGTCCCTTGTGACTACAAGATTGAGAGAATCAGATCTCCTTTTACAAAAAAGCCTCATGTGATGAATTTCCCAAAGATCAGCTAGATGATCTTACCGAGTTCATCAGTTTAAGCCTTAGGGTCCAATAACCACACACAGTTACTGTACTTGTTATTTTCTTCATCCATTTGCACTGCTCCTTAAGCCATTCCCTGTGCTTGCCTGAAGTTAGGACTTCAAAAAGCAACTGAATCATATATTATATTCTAATTATGCATAACAACACGGATTCCAAGATATTTTCAAGAAGGTAAATGTAACTAGGGATATCATAAATTCCATCTAACAAAGTTAGTAACACTGCAAGTACCAGTCAAAATTCACCAGCACACTTAGCTTCCACCCTGAACTATTTTTTCACTTTTTGTTCCCATTCTTAAATTAAAAACTAGGGACACTTAGGAACTGAGACATGAAGCCTTATTTGGTAAAGCATGAGTGAGATGGATAGCATATGTGTTGACATTCCATCATACCAACAGCACTCACCAGAAGAAGATAAAAATCTAAAACATGCAGAAAGAGGGATTTTCCCATAAGCACCGTTTCCTATTCTATTTTCAATGGAAAGGGGTTGGGTGGGGTGGGTTTAGAACAGAACGGAACGGAACAGAACAGAACAGAACAGAGCAGAACAGAACAACAGAGTTGGAAGGGACCTTGGAGGTCTTCAATCCCCTGCTCAGGAAGGAAACCCTTTCAGACAAAACTTGTATGCCCTACAGAGAAAGTCTATGAAAAGCCACATTCATGGCCACATTGATAACCACACAAATTTAGTACTAGGAGCTAGGCTTAAAGCTATACTGTAGTTCCCATGTCTGGATCTCCTGGAACACTTTTTGGAGACACTTGCTTTTCTGTACAATTAAGTGCACAATGTTTGTGGCATCAAGATGGCCTATTTTGGGATTTTTGTTATGAAAGAAAATCACCATCACCAAGTTTTAAGTATCAGTCACTAGCATATTATACAAGTACTTACCAGTATCTCACCCTTTAGAGGTTGGCAAAATTAGTTGTGCAGGCAAAATAAGAAAAAGCAGAATGAGGGGACAAAACAGTAAAAAAATAAAATAAAATTGAGTAGAGGGGGAAAGGGGAAGCAGAAGCATAAAAATGGTAGGAAAAGAAAGGTAAAGTAGAAAAAAAACAGTAAAAGAAAAAAAGTTACATGCTATTAATTATAACTGTACAGTGTTAATGTTTCATTACACTCTTTCCAAACAAGAATCAATATATGTTGGTACTAAATATTGTATATTTACTAACTGTCATGCAACATTAAATTGCCAGTCTTGTGCCTCAAGACTGACAAATTCTCAAAGGAATGTTATGGTTGCATTATTTATTTTCTCTATTTTTTTTCTGTATAATTAGCATTGTTTTCTGATTATTTTTCAAAGAAACTGGAAATGCACTTTGCAGAAACAGCTTCAGTCTAAATCAGCACATACAGCAAAAAACTTCCTAGAGGTACTGTACATTTTGTAATTGGATCTGCTTCCATGTCATTTTCTATTTGCAGATGATATAAGAAGAGAGTATTACTTCCTGCATTATGCAGTGCTATGCTCACAAGCCTATTCAATTTTCTGCAAAATCATATATTAATGTGCCCAACAGACAGCACTATGTGTGTAGTCACAATTTGCTGAAAGAGAAATGGATCAGTATCTGACATGAATCAGTACCTGATTTGGAATTGCTCTTTTCTTATTTGCCTGGGTGCTCCTTTGTTGTGCACTGAAAGAAAAGGAACAAAGAGAAAGAAATGTTTTTTTTTAAATAAACGTGTATATTGCATATCATTCCCCACCCAACAAAGCTAGTTTATATGTTAGCAATGCTCTAAGAGAGCTAGCAAGACAGTTATGCTCCAAGTCAACAAGAACAGTTCCTGCTCAAGTCAAGGGAAGTTAACAAACATGCAAGAAAGTAAGTTCCAGTGCTTGAAGAAAAATGTCACCAATAATTAAGCTAATATCAACCACACAATAGATTTGTCAGTACTAGAATACTATCAAGTCAGAAGAGTTGTGAAACATTCCATTTCAAGTCTAAATTAGGGAAAGGGAAAAGAGAAAAAAACTAAACTGAAGCCTGTAATTGCTTGCTTGCTGAAGAAGCAGGTGAAAAAAATGGCTTTAGGAAAGAAGAAAGAGATGCTTAGCCTAGTTCCAAGCTGAATCTTATTGGAGCCCTTTGCAGTGGATAAACAGAAAATCAATGTTTGGATGACAAAGAAGTAAGAAGTACAGCAAAATAAGTACACTGGATTGATGATTTTAGGGGTCTTTTAAAACTTTTTTTTGGTTTAATATTATTTTGTACTTATTACATTCTGCATTACAAAAAGTATTGCCTTAAGTATTGCCAATGTTAAAAAGCAATAACTTGAGGCACATTTTAAAATGTTTTTAGTTGGTAATCCAGCTGTTTCTTTAATTAAGTATACTCTCAGTCTTAATTCTAACAATTTATGCAGCAATAACATTTTTAAATTGGACTACTCTATTGTGCCCTACATGGAGCTGACCTTGAACAGTATCCAGAAGCTTCAGTTGGTACAAAATGCAGCAGCAGAAGGCAATTATGGGTGCTCCAACTTGCACACATACCTTGCTGTGCAAGTTGCATTAGTTTCCAGTTCGCTTCCAGGTCCAAATCAAATATTGATTGTAACCTTTAAAGCCCTATATTGCACAGGACTAGGACATTTGATGCATCTATATATCCCATGAGGTCTACCATGAGAGGCATGTTGTGGGTTCTGGCAGCTAGGCAATGTTGTTCAGCAGGACCTAGGAAGAAAGCCTTTTCTGCAGCCCGATTCTGGCCCCAATTATGTTGGTCTTCTGGAAGGCCTTTAAAATATGGCTTTGTCAACTAGCTTGGGGTAGTTGCATGGTAGTTTCAACCTGTTAGATGGCTATATGACAGTTAATGAAGTTCATTCTTATGTTGTACTGTCATTTTATTAGTTTTTATTTTAAATTGGCTATTTTAATGGTTTTTACCTGATTATTACTAAGTACACTGCCCAGAGTCACTATGTTGGAAGTTATACAAATGTGATGCATGCATGGATGGATGGATGTGAACCTCCTGCACAGTGGTGGAACTGCTATGGAAAAGTTGCATCAGCTTCTTCTCACCGGATGACATGGTGGTGCAGTGCTTAGAATGCAGTATTGTGATTGCTATCTCACTGGAGGCATTCACCCTATCTGGCTTGGTGAGATGGGCAGATATTGTCTGAGATAGGTGATCTTGCAAGTGCCCTGGTCCTGTCCTGTTCCTAGACACCAAAGTGATGGGAAGCTGGTTCATCTCCATCCGGATCCTCACAGCCTCTGGGCACTGGGTGATCAGTGGGTGCCTGCCTGTTTGACCTAGCCAGATAGGGTGGATGGCACTAGGTATTCCTTTCAATGGTGTCATCCGGTGATATCAAGCTGTCACACCTTTTCCAGAGCAGTCCTGTCACTATGAAAGAGGTTCTATCATGTAATTCAGCAGCCTCCGCCCTCACCCCATTATTTAAAGATCTATGTCCTGTTCAGAGGTGCTTGTGGTTTGATGAAATTATTAAAAGAAAGCATGTTTTTCTAGATGTGAAGTGTGGGAAGTTGGGAAAATGCTAGGGGAGGGGCCAGCTGATTGGTAACAGAGCATGGCATGTCCTCAGCATATGAGAAGTTGAAGGGGTGACTGCAAGCAAAGGCTGCATCCTATGGCTCTTCTCCAAAGAGCGGCAAAGTTTTTTTGGCCAAGCAGGGCAATGACTTCAAGGTCAGTAAAAGTGGTGTGTTGCTGGTGTGTGGTTGATGTTCCTTGTTCTGGATACCCAAGGCAAAAGGGGAGTAGGGAGGTGCAGCTGCAGAAGGCAATGTTATGTGCTTGGGGAGCAGCAAAGTGTATGTGGTGAGGGGGCAGGGTGTTTGCTAAGGATAGAGTGTTTTGTTTATGTGGTGGGAGGAAGGTTAGGTGTGCGTGGGAAATTGGTTATGGAGTGTTGTTTTTGCAGGTGCATGTTGTATCTGGATGGAGAGCGATCTGAGCTCCAGTCTGGCCATCAGCTCAGCAGCATCCTGCTCACCCACCCTGGCAGTGAGGTGGTGGGCATGGTGAGGTTGGGTGGTGTGTAGCACCCTCCCTTTTGGGGGGTGGCAATGCACTGTGCAACCACTGGAAAGGTGCACTTTGTGGGGAAGAGCGGCCCAATTGCCCTAGCAGCCCAGCACCCTCCTTTGTGGGGGGGGTGGCAGGGTACTGGGTGGGAAGGCATGCCACGTCTACTACCTCCCAGTGCACAGCCTTTTGAAAAAGCGGGCACTCAAGGCTGCTGCATATCTCACCTGGTGCCTTCTCAGTGCATCAAGTCCAATGGGAAGGCAGAGCATATGGATTGGCTGCCAGGATGCGTGGCTATTTGTGGTAAATTGTCCAGAGCAATTTGTCCCATAGTGAATTGCCAGGGTGAGGTAGCATGGAAGGAATGGTGGGGGAACAACCCCGTTGAGTCAGCTGGCATGGGGGAGGCCAGAATGAAGTGGGAGGGGCCAGGCAGCTGTGGCCATTGTCCCATTCTGACATTAATCTGTATATATCACCAGACGTTTTCAAACTCTTGAGATATTAGAAAACTGACTAATTGGATAGAACTGGGAACCAAGCCCAGAACCAGCTTTAGCACTGCTCCCACTTAGCCTGCATGCCTTATCTGACTTTTAAAAATGAAATGTGATTACCCTCATCTCTTTTGGGGGAGTCCTGATTCACAATGTGAGAATCCCTGCCTTACCCTAAACTCTCCAAAAGAACAGTAGCACCCCTATATTAAGGTTTCAAACACCAAATAAATCAACAAAACACTTTTTCAAATAACATGCTGAATTATTTTGTCCACATAGTTGCAGATAAATTCAAGGCCCATGCATTCTTAACTGGCTGCTCTGAAATAAATGGAGATCTTCAATTCTCAGCCTATTGCATGAATGCATAATTTCCAGGGAAGATGAACGGTCACAAATAATTGTGTTCTATTTAATAAACCATGCCTAAAAAACCCACAGATCAGCATTATATATAATCCAAGCCACTAAATTTTGATATTCCACAGAACTTTAAATTAGGAAGACAATTTACAATACTAATTCTAAATTGTAATCGCCAACTTTCAGAGGTAGAAATAGCAACTTAGGTACCATTTTCTTGGGTGAATGTCATTTCAAATTACTAAGTGCCCTATTTACAAGCTGTATAATACAGGTAGTCCTCAACTTACAACCACAATTGAGCCAAAAATTTCTGTTGTTAAGTGAGACATTTGTTAGGTGAGCTTTGCCCCATGTTACCTTTCTTGCGACAATTGTTCAGTGAATCACTGCAATTCTATAATTAGTAACACAGTTGTTAAGTGAATCTGACTTCCCCATTAACTTTGCTGGTCAGAAAGTTACAAAAGATAATCACATGACCTGGGACACTGCAACTGTCATTAAGTATGAGTCAGTTGCCAAGCATCTGAATTTTGATCATGTGAATTTGGGGATTCTACAATGGTCATAAGTGTGAAAAATGATGTCACTTTTTTTCAGTGCTGTTGTAACTGCGAATGGTCACTAAATGAACTGTTGTAAGTTGAGAACTATCTGTACTTCAGACAGCAGAAGCATTTCCCTCTTCTATGCTGCATAGAGTTTTAACCACAGCCTTCAACTAGTAATCATCAATGTGAGTCACACAATCGCTTTGTATAAGCAAGCTCAATTTGCATTTAAATTTGAACCTGGTTTTTTGTTTATAATACCAGGAGTCTCAATAAATTTATCTCTCAATAAATGAGAGATAAAAAGTAAATAAAATATTGAGAGAACCAGAGAATCAAGCAGCCATTAAGAAACAAAAGGTTTTGCTTCCTTTCTGTTAGAGTAGTTTGAAGGCATCATTTATATGGGTGGCAACAGTAAAGCTTAATAACTCAAAATTCGGGAAATGAAAGCTAGTTCTGTGTCCCTCTCAGCTTTGGCAAAAGAAAAGTTCTCTCATCTGTATTGAAATATAAAAATGCAAGCAACAGAAGGAATTGCTCCAACTCATCAGAAGAAATCCATGATTATTTTTTTCTTTTCTAATCTGCAGCACAAACAAGTCCTTCAAAGAAATGATCTGACATGATGTGCATGACAGATACCGTAAGTAGCAGTGTTTGCTTTTCGAGTGAAGATTTGTAAAAAGTAATTTCTACTGTTCAATTCCAAACTTCATTCCAGTGCAGTCCAAATGCAAGATACTTCTAGCAAGTGTTCCAAAAGATTAGACAATTTGGATTCTTGTCATAATAGAGAAAAACTCTCACAGGCAGATACGCACCCAGTCACCATGTGCTGTTCAGTGTAACAGCTGGGGAATTTTGGACAGTTTCAAAGGCATCCAGAAATAAAAGTGAGACAATTCAAAGAAAAACCAAGATAAATTAAAGGGAAAAAAAGAACTCTGTATTAAGAGGGAAAGAAGAAATATATGCATTTACATCCTGTAAAGAAAGTCACTCTCAGTCCATTTGATACATTGATGGCAAATATTTTATTTGCAGTTCGCATAAGCCACATTATAAAAGTCCTTAGGATCATATCATAATATAAAAAACAAACAAACAAAGGGATTCAGGTTTTTCTTTTATGGTAATCATTGATTTAAAAAGTAGCAAGCTTTTGTCTTTATTAAGAAAACTTTCAGAT